GAAAAGCAATGGTTCAAAGAGAAAAACAAGTCATATACAGAAAAGAATGGGAAAAGAGAGGGGAGGGTCCAGTGCAAATAAACAGGCAAAGATGAAAGAAACAGAATAAGCAGGAAAACAAACAGGTCAGGTGGCACAAAATAATTGTTCAAAACGATTGACCCACTTCTCCGCAGCTCCACTGTTAACACCCTCATCCAAGTCGTTACCATTTCTCCAGTGGACTGTCACCAACACCCTCCTAACTGGCCTTCCTACCTCTGACCTTGACCACAATGAGACAGATCAAACCGACAATCTTCTCAAACCCTTCACCTGACTGCATCACACTAAGAACTCAATCCCCCCAAATTACTATAGCTCCCCACAATCTCTGATCTGCTTTAATTCTAATCATCTGTCCCTCAATCCTTGGCCTTCTTGCAATGCCTCCACACACCAAGCACACGGCGCTGACATTTGCTGTTGCCTTTGCTAGGAATAGTATTTCCTCATATTTCCACATGATCTACATTTTCACTTCCTTCAAGTCTCTGCGCGCTCGAATGTCACCTTGTCAGAGTCTTCCCTGACAGCATACATAAACTAGCATCTCTAATCCCTGGCTGACCCCTAATCCTGCTTCATTCATTTTCAGTTACACTTCTTCTTAAGCATATGTTTGCTCATTTATTTACTGTCTGTCTCCCCCCCATAAGCCTCATGAAGGCAGGGTCCTTGTGTCCTCATGGCTGCACTCCCAGGTCTTACCACAGTGCCTAGCATAGTGAGTATGGAATAAATGACTGTTGAATGAAGGAGTGAACCGGCACCATCATCAATCGAATTCTCCTATGCAGAATATGGGGTTCATCATTAAAGGAGTCCTATGTGTATCTTTCCTTGTAGCTTTGTAGGAATTAGTAGATATGCTCTGAGTCTTTCATGTATTCGATACCTAACAAGGCAGGTGCTAGGGATCAAAGAGACCACTAAGACTAAGATCTGGTTTCTTCCCCCAGGAGATCTGATATAAGTCATTACAACGCAATACAGTAATATAATGGACAAGGACAGAAATAACTACTCTGTACTCTCACACATGGATACATTTCAGAATGTGTACTAGAAGATAGACAGGTTATCTGTCTAAAACATCCTAAGTACTTTTCTTATAGAGGAGGACAGATAGTAATTGTTTCTCTTCCTCCACCTCTTATGCATCTCCTGAATTTTCTGATAATTGTCACATACTGCTTTTTTGACTTGAGGATGAAATTTAAGTTTTAAAAAAAGAAAGGAAGAAAATTACCCTGTTGGAGTTGGAGCACTTT